CACCAAGTTAGTAAAGTTTTCTGCCATTATTGTTTCAAACAGGTCCTCGCTCTTCTCCTTCTGGCACCCCCAAGATGCGAATGTTGGCACGCTTGAAGTTGTCCCAGAGGCTCCTTACACTATCCTCATTTTTTTGGATTCTTTTTTCTTTTTGCTGTTCTGATTGGGCATTTTTTGCTTCCTTATATTCCAAATCGATGGTTTGCTCCTTGGATTTACGTACTCTATTATTGAAGCTGTGTAAATTATTCTTTATTTCAGTTAATGCCTCCTTCAATTGTAACTGTGTATCCATGATTTCTGACTGGTCTTTTTATGCTTTTGAGCCCCTCCCTAAGTTCACTGAGGTTCTCACTAAGTTCATTGAGCATCCTTATAAGCAGTATTTTGAACTCAGTATCTGTTAGGTTGCTTATCTCCCTTTTGCTTAGTTCTTTTCTTGGGATTTTGTTCTGTTCTTTCATTTGGGACCTGTTTCTTTGTCTCCTCATTTTGGCTGCCTCCCTGTGTTTGTTTCAGTGAATTACTTAACGAGAGGTATGGGGCTAGCTGAGACCAGATGCTGCTTGTTTGAAAGAATTTAGGAAAAACCTGAAGCAGGATCCAAGACAGGCCAATCCTATGGTTAAGCAACTGGCAACAGCTTGGGTGGGCCTGAAAGTTGGGCAGGGCGGGGCCTCAGGGAGTCAGCAGGGCGGGGCTACCAGTGTGAGCCAGGTTGCTGGAGTCCCAGATATGGTGACTGTCTGCCACCCAGGGAAGGGCTCACCAAGGGAACAAAGGCCTCTGACAGCACGTTTGTCCCGGAGAAAGCCCCCTCTCCAGCCCTCGCTCCAGTGCCAAACAGCTCAGTTCTTCCCTGTGTGTCTCTGGCGCCCCTCGAGCTGCCTCCCCTCCAAGCTCAGAGGGAGAGAGTCCGATAAGTCCGTGCGCGGGCCCTTTAAGGAGCTGCCTGGGGCTCCAGCCGCCTCAGCCTCCCTAATCCTCATTAAGACTGGAGGGAAAAGGTGTGGTTAGATAACAGTTACTATTACTGGAACCCCACTGCATGTCGGGTTTTAAGTGCTTTTCACGTATTGATCTACTCCTCATAATCAAATAGCCCTGCGAGGAGAGCACTGTTGTTATGGGCGGGAAACGCAGGCACAGAAAAGCTGAGTCACTTGTCCAAGGTCACACAGCTTCTGGTAGCACTGGGATTTGAACCCAGATCCTCAGCACCCAAGAACTGTTTGTAATAGTGCTGTTCAGTGTGTCTCAGGGCCAGCTCTCCCTATTTACCAGTGTCTGTGAACTGGGATGAATGGGCTTAAGATGAAATTGCTTCTAACACCAGGTACTTTGGATGGAGTCTTATTTAAATAAAACAATGTCAGTCCCCAGACTCCTTGACTCTGGGCCACTTACATAATGGATACTTGCTGGGCACATGCAAAATCACCCAACTCTGACCTCAGCCTTCCGTTTGCACCCACTCCCTTTGATCAGTCCGGCGGTGGGGTTAGGGCAAGGTGGCCAGTGGGGAAGCTACTGGCTCTGCAGTCAGACTCCTGCGTCACCAGACCTTCTCCCAGGGGTGCCTGTCTTTGAGTCTCAGACGATGCGGCTTGTAAATGTGACTCTGGAATCCTGTCCCTTTTAGCACCATGGACATAGGCTTAAAGCTCAGGCTTCCCAAAGGATTCCAGGGGCTCTAACGAGACCCCATGTGTGTCCTCAGGGAGAGAGGTCATTCTGTTTAACCTGCCCTAGTGGGTTGGGACCAGGTTTAATAGATGTGGCAGGAAGGTCAGTTGCAGAAAGAGCTGAAGATCACAAACCGGTCAGAACGGAGGAACATCACCAGCAGAAGGCCGAGTTCTCGTTCCTGCTCTGCCAGTAACGTGCGTGAGCTGGGCATAGTGTTTGCTCTCCAGGGCCCATTGCTCACTGGTGGAGCCGGGGAATTGAACTGCGGGAGCTCAGGGTCTTCGATCTGCTCAGCTTTCCACATTTGCCAGCATCCCTTTCCTGGTCAGTACGACACGATGCATAGCCACACTCAGTAGTTCTCAGTGTCCTTACTCAGGAGCTCATTCCTACTTCACGGGGTCGATGGGAGGACGTTTCATCTGAGCCAGCGCGAACGGGCTCGGTCAGACTGGCTTTGTTCGGGCACAGCAAGGCGCACACACGTACACTTAAATCATGGAAATCTGGTTTTGAAGATCCCCTGGAACTACTGAGTGGTCCTAGCACGGTATCACTTTCAAAGAGCTGCCAACTCACGGGCCATTCATTCTTCCCTGTAGCTGTAGCGACTGCCAGCACCAGTCTTAGCTATAATTTGGGGGAGGGGGACAGTGCCTGAACAGTCTAGGGTGAGGGTTCAGGGCAGGGGTGTTATTCCTGTTCAGAGGAGACATTGCTGGCTTCATATTACACTGTCCTCTAACTCCACCTATTATACCCCTATTTCAACCCACTTATTACACCCCATGGGCTTACATAGGTTGGAAAGACACAAACCAGACACAAAAGACAAATACAGCATGGTTCCCCACAGATGGGGCACTCGAGTAGTCAGAATCACAGAAAGAGAAAGTGGAAGAGTCCTTGCCAGGGGTGGGGGAGGGGATGAGAAGTTACTTAATGGGGACAGTTTCAGTGTTGCAAGAAGAGTTCTGGAGGTGGGTAGTAGTGATGCTTTCACAACAGTGTGAATGTATGTAACACCATTGACCTGTACAGTTAAAAATGGTTAAGATGGTAAATTCCGTGTTATGCATATTTGCACTATAAAGGGGGGGTGGGTCTCAAAGGTAAAACATGGGAAGATGACATGCAATAATTAAAATAGCTGTGTTAGCATGGTGTTAATATAAAGGTTATTTAAAACTGTTATTCCCATATTGTGATACTGCTTTTATACAAAAATAAAACACTGAGACAGAAAAAAAGTCAACAAAATTTCAGGTATTTTGATATTCGTTATTGCCCAGAAAAGCACCCAAGTCGTCATGGGAAAAACCAGAGACGTGTTTAACATCTTGGCGCTTTATTTTATAATTTACTATTGTTTGTTTATTTTTTTATCATTGGGGGCCCATAACCTTTCAGTGCTTAGTGCCTCTCAAGTTGTGAGCTGGTCTTGGGTGCAGCTAATTTGGTTTTCAGGCAGAGAGAATGGTGCTGGGAGGCCCTGGGCCTGCAGCCCTGCCTGAACCTGTCTGCGGGGTGGCTCTAGCCGCGGCCTCCTGGCAGCTCCTGCCGCTCTTACTAAAATTGCGCTCTATGCACCTGGGTCATGGCCATGCTGTTGCCTTTCAGGTCCAGAGCGAGGCTGGTTTGTTTTGCTGCTGTTTAAGTGAGCAGTTAGTGACTGGAGGTAGGTGTGCAGCACACCTGGAAGTGGATGAAAATACGATAAGCCAGGTGCTCCTTCCCCGATCAGGAGCTGGGGGTGCCTGGCTGTGTGGTGGTGCTGGCTCCCCACTGTGCCACAAAGACACGAATGTGCCTCCCTGTGCAGTGGCACTTGCATGGTGGGTTCTTTGGCAATAACGGTGGAAACTAACGCCTGTGCTTCTTACGCAAAGCTGCAGGAAGCTCCGAATTTGAGAACTTCCAGCCCCATATTTGACCTTGTTGAGAAGTTCCCTAAGCTAAAGAGTGACCTGAGATAACCTGGGGTTTCCACTGTGAGCAGAAAGGAGAAACTTGGGTTTGATGAAAACCAGCACACACCAGGCAGTGACCCTGCACTGGGCCCTGAGCTGACTGCGTGGCATCAGCTCACTTCATCCTCAACCACCCGGGAGTCCCTGCTCTCCATGCCCATTTCTCCAGGAGGAAATGGACATTCCGGCAGTTTTAGAACCTAGCCCAAAGCCGCCCGGCGACTCGGCCTGGCTCGTAAGTCCACAGTCAGCGTGAACATGCCAGAAATGCAGGTCTGGATGTGGGAGCTGCGGTTTCTTTCCCAGAATCAACCGAGAGGTCCTGTGAAACAGTTACACCTCACGTTTGTGGAATTGGTGTTTGTTTTGTTTTGAATTTTCAGTGGTCCTTGTCTTGCTCGGAAAAGTCCCCACCTCTGCCCAGCAGCTCACCTATGAGGAGTGGAGAAACTTCCCAGCAAATCAGGCGCCCGATTTCACTTTTATAAGAGAAATAGAAAAATCTATCATTCACCATCCAGAAGAACAACGTATTTCTAAACAGAATTTAAGGCAGCGCCACACACATTTTGAGTCTCTCAAAGCAGTCATCGGTGGTCGTTTCTGAGAACATTTTAGACTCTCAGAAGTTTAGTTAGTGGTTTAATCAAATACGGATCCGCCCGCTGAGAAATGCGGTGTTTGACTCAGGAGGCGGCGGCCAGCACCCTTGACCTTCAGCTTCCGCCGGCTCCTCGGTGCTTTCTGGGCATATTCGCGGCCCAGATTCTCTCGTAGGGCAGCGCTGTGCCTCGGATGGCTGCCAGGCGAATGTGCAGATGGGCGGGGGGCACTAGAGCAGTGCTTTATGGGAACGGCCCCCACGCGGCTGAATGTACAAGATTTCCCCCAGAACTTTCAGGGTCACTTCTAGAACTGCACCCTTCCGAACAGGGTGCTGTACCGAGCAGGCTGCCCCTCCGAGAACGCAAGGTACTGTCGGGGTCTCCTCGGCCCTTCCCCTCGCACGCTCCACGAGGATCAGCTCTGCTGGTGCCTCTTGCCACCGTGGGCGACCGGCCACCTGGGTCCTCCACTCGGCCGAACGGCTGAGGAAGGTAGTGGACATGGGACCCGGACTGCCAGGACCTCCCACGGCACCGTGGGGAGGGCCGCGAGATCCGGCTCCTGCCAGGCGTCCGAGCCCAGCCACGCGGCCCCAAGTCATCGCCCCTGGGAAGCACCTGTTTGGATCCGGTGCAGATGGAAAGGCCTCAGTTGCTTCCTTGACTTTTTTTTTGGGGGGGGGTGGGGGCTTGGTAGATGGAGAGCCCTACGAAGGGCCAAAACGATGTCACCTCTGACCCTCCTCCATCAGGACCCGCCCAGGGCGCGCTGAAGGGCGTGGGCACAGGGACCAGGAACCTGCATGCTTCCCAGATCCAGGCCCCTCGACCCGTCCCAGGCTCGGGCAGCTAGAAACTGCGGGTGTGCAGAAGACAAGTGATCTGGTCCGAGCGCCACCCTCCCACGTAGCATCCGCCGTGCGCCCGCCGTGGTGGGCGGGGTCTCGCGTGCTCTGCTCACGGGCCCTCAGCAGCTCCAACTCGGCGCCCTCACAGCTACTCGGGCGCCCTCACAGCTACTCGGGCAGGAGGAGCCTTCCCGGGGGCAGGGGAGCTTCTGTGCGGATGGCAGGAGCTCAGGCCACGCCTCGTGCCTGCTGGAGGGCGCGGTGACTTCCCGGCCAGCAGCCTGCCCGCCCGTGGGCCAGGGTCCGGGGCCAGGTCCGGGGGAGGCCGGCCCATCGGTGCGGGAGCCCGAGGTGCGCACACGGCTTCTGAAGGCATCGCCCTTTCTCAGTCCGGCTAAGAGCACAGCCAGTGGCCTTGGTTGGCAGTGAGACCCCAGGACTAAAGCAAAAGCCTGTGGGGAGTCCTCTCCTTGGACCCACCCCCACACTGTACACAGCTCAGTGCCTTCCGCCGCGAGGTGGGAATAGCAGCAATGCGTGGGGCGGGTCTGAGGAAAAGATTTCGGGCAAAACACGAGTTCGTGAACACCTTTTCTCCAGGAAACCCACCGGCTGCGCACGTGTCCTGCAGGTCGAGGAAGACAGCAGGGCAGCCTACGCCCCCTGGCGGTCGGGGCAGGCATGCGCATGGGCTCAAAGTCGTCCTCTCGTTTCAGGTGAAAATGACCGTGGACGCATTAACCTCTTCCTCCTATATATCCAGTAACCAAAATGGCTCACGCCTTCCCTTCTTTCTCTGCAAAACTGCAACAGCCGTGCAGGGAGTGTGCCCATCAGGCGTCTGTATGAAGGCCGAGGGCTTCCGGCCGTCCTGTCTCCGCAAAGCCCCTTCTAGATGACATCTAAGACGAGGTGACCCACAGAATGGCCAAGACCCACGGACAGGAATGCATCCTCAGAAACACACAAGCCGCTTCTCATCTTCAAAGCCTTTGGCCTCCTCAGGGTTTATCAAGTTTCCATTTAGGCTGTTGGAGAACAAAGAAAACAAGTAAAACGTTAGGGACTGTCGTCCACTCCGTGTGTCCCTAACAGCCCTGTGCTTCCCACCACCCTGAAATGAAGAGACGTACTGCAGTCAAATGTTTGATAGTAATATTGATCCTCTCCAGCCTCCGTCACCCTGTGAACTGGGTCTCCCTAATGTCCCAACAGCGTCGATGAACTTGAATTTAATGACATTTTTCAGACCTTGTCTTTCTGGAAACCACCTTCCCTGGGCTTGATGTTGTGCCCTCTGGTTTTCCTCATGTACCCGGCTGCTCCATCTCAGCCTCCTAGCCCATATTTTCACGTGACCTCTAAATAATGAATTTCCTCCCAGCTTGGGCCCGGCCCTCTCCCCGAGGCCTCGTTCATACGTCGCCCTGCAGCCCAGACCGCTCCACTGTGGGGCCACTTCCCAGTAGGCTTCACCACTGGCGTCTCCCGGGTTCCCCACCGCGGGGAATTGTACCGCTCTTCCCCCAGTCCCGCGTGTCAGGAATCTGGAGTCAGCCTTGCCCCTTCCTCCTCGCCGTCCTGTTCCGTCACCAAATTCTACTCTATTCCCTAGACATCCGTAGAATGCCTCCCTGGAACCCCTGCATCTCTGCCACCACGATCCTGGTCTGAGCACCTCCCTGTCTTCTCTGGATCACCGCAGTGTCCTGACTGGTCCCTTGACCTGTACACCTGCCTCCTCAAAGCCCTTTTCCTAGAGGAGTCGAGTAGTCTTTTCACAATGCAAATCTGATCACACCTGTCTTTGCTTCAAACCCTTCAATGACTTTGCATTGCTTTTAGGATAAATACCAATCTCTGCAGCATGACACGCACACCTCTTATGGTCAAGTTTCCCCATACCCTCCGCCTCCTGTTGTCCCCTCTTCCACACCGCCTGAGCCCCAGGGCCCCCAGCTTCTTGACCTGAGCTTCTGCATGTGCTGGTCCCCTGCCTGGGACACGCCCCCACTTCAGCGGACTGACTCCAAGTCACCTGTCATGGCTTAGTTTCAGTGCCACATCCTTAGGGAGACCTTCCCTGAAACCTCCCCTGTATTCGGTGCCCTTCTCGGCTTTCCCCTTTATGGCACTTACAGGGATTGTCATTAAACAGTTACTTCGAATGATGTTTTTTACTACGTGTCACCCTCACTAGATGGTCAACCCAGAGGGCAGGTCCATTTTGTTCACTGCTGGATTTTCGGTCCCAGCACAGGGCCTGGCACTTGGTTATTCAACAAATGAAGATGCAGCACTAGTCCCTGGGGACAGCGTGACGTGACGGGGACACAGGCCCTGCCCCCCAGGAGCTCAGAGCCTGGAGGAAACAGCCTCACGGGAAGCTGTTATAATGGAGTGTGGTAACCAACAACACAATCAGCAGGAAATGGATTAGCTCTAGGGAAGGGATCACGGGTGCGAGGTGGCTGGGAGTAGATGGGCATCGGCCTCCATTGTAGCGGGCACACAGCCAGTGGCACTGAGCACACAACCACTGCCATCATCACAGTAGCGGGCTGGTCTTACCAGATCTCCATGATGCCAGTGTTCCTCTGGAGTGCGTCCGCCAGCCGGGAGACCCCCCTGGCTGTGATCCGGTTCTGGATAAGCCTGAAAGAACAACACACCTTTTGTATAGAAAACATAGTAATGGATTAAATCTGCTCCCTAATTCGGGGGTAATCTAATGAATGGTGGGGTAAGAGACAGACAGGGTCGGGGGAAGAACTGAGTCCACGTGACTTAATCTGGCAAAGACTGTCTAGATCCAATCCACCAGAATAAAGGACGGCCTTTAAAATGTTTAATTGCTTTATAGTGGGCATAATATATCTGTGTTCATATGGAGATGATTCATTGCGTGGACATGCAGATGTGTGTGCGCCTGACATTTTCCACCGCAGAGGAGCCCAATCAGAAACGTTTGGAGACCACAACAAATGCTGAGAAACACGCCAGGGAACAGGCACAGTCTCCTCCCAGGGGTCAGGGATAGGAAAGGCCATTTTCAAAGCTAAGTAGCTACCAGCTGGCCATTCTGTTCTTTGCGGAAACAAAGGCTTCTGAGATGGGACATGTCCTCCCCAGCATCGGAGAAGGAGAGGAGACACTGCGCCTGGTCCCGGTGGGAAAGCAGTGGTCATGGCCTGTAAGAGTAACCCCACTTTGTTGGGGAGCAGTGATCCAAAGGAAACAAAGGTCTTGGGAAGCCCGCAATCCTGCAATGCCCCCCGGGCAGCTCTGCTTCCGGCCCCACCAGGGAATCAGCGCAGCCCTGAGGCAGTGAAGTGTCTGCTCTTCATCACAGGCTCAGTCCTCACTCCTGGCTGTCCCTACACGAGGCTGCTACTGACCCGTACAAGTCCTGGGCCCTGACCCAAGAAGCCAGCCCTCCCAGCAAGATGAGGGCCTCAGTGTGAAGGAGCCAACCCCTTAAAGAGGCAGTAGACCACTGTGCTTAAAAGCTTCCCTCATACACACTCCGCACTTCTCAGCTACTTGTGCCTCAGTTGCCTGATCTGTAAAATGGGGATAACTATGAGGAAACTTCCCTCTCGCGGTGTGTGAGGTTTCAATGGGACGATGTGTCTGAAGCAGTGTTCTCACAGTCTGTGCCAGTGTCCAGTGGAAGGGAGCTCTGGTCACCATCACTGCCCAAGTACACAGGACGGTGGTGACAGTGCTGCAGCTGGGACCCAGTGTTCCCAGCCATGTCCCCCAAAGGCTGGGGCCCCGGGCTCAGTGGCAGAGGTGATGACCTTCTCGTAAGCATGACCACAGTGTAACCTGACACTTTTGCCAAAGGAGCAGAAAGAGGACCTGGAAGTGGGCACAGAGTTCTGCATTCAGTTAAATTCTGCTGTTCTCTAGTCATTTCCGCCATGGCTGCCACCCCTGGCCCACTGGGGACAGGGCGAGCTGCCTCCAGCCCAGACTTGGCAAGAGGCCGGAGTTTCGGAGCTGAGAAGCCCAGAGTGTTCGGGCACGGCTGCCCCTGGGGCTGCCTTCACGCGCCTCCGTGGCGGAACCTGGCGGGGCGGCCCAGACCCACTCTCGGTCCTGGTGGCCCTGTTCTCCCTGGCGGGGCCGGCCTGGCGCCCGGAGAAGGGCAGAAAAGAACATCTTCAGGCCAGGAAAGAAAGAAAAACAACAACCAGACACATAGAAAGTAAAAGTGGCACAGTCGGGATGTTTTTACAGAAATTGAGACGGTGATCTAAAATGCATCTGGAAATGCAGGGGACCCGAGGCAGCCAAAACAGCCTTGGAATGAAGAGCAGAGAGAGCTGGAAGACTCACACTTCCTGACTTCGACACTTACTACAAAGTTACAGCCATCAGGACAGGGTGTTGCTGGCATAAGGATAAACAGATGCAAGGGACTAGAATAAATCCAAAAAAACACACATGTCTGGTTGACTGATTTTTGGCAAAAGTGCCAGGGCCATTTGAAAGGGGAAGGCCTTTCGATAAGCGGTGCCGGCACCACCTCATTCCATACACAGAAATTCACTCCAGATGGATCAGAGACCAGAACGAAAGAGCAACACTGTAGCACTTAAAGGAAATGACTTCTTAGTAAGATACCTAAAGCATAGCAGCCAAAGGGAAAAACAGATCTACGGGACTTCCTCAAAATGACAAACGTCTGTGCTTCAACAGTCGCTGTCAAGAAAGTGAAAGCCACGTGTGGCCTCTTCCCTTCCGGCCATGGCCGAAGAGCCAGCGGAAAGAGTGAAGTTCAGTCCCTTTGTGCCTCCCGACCCAAGCAAGAACCGGCAAAGGCATTTCAAGCCACCTTCCTGCATTCACAGGAAGACTCTGTCCCTCCTCTCCCCAAAGAGCGGAGACAGAAGCACAGTGTTCGATCCACGCCCGTCCGAAAGGATGATGAAGTGCAGCTTGTGCGAGATGACGACGGCGGCACGTTGACAGCGTAGCCCAGGTTTGCAGGAAGACTGTGCCGTCGCCACGGGAGGAGTGCGGTGGGAGACAGCCGCGGTGCATGTGGGTGCCCCCGCTCCGTGGTTATCACTAGGCTAAAGCTGGACAGAGCCACAAAAAGATCCTCAGGTGTAAAACCCAATCTCACCAAGTAGGAAAGGAAATGGGCAAATACAAAGGAGAAACAACTGAGAAGATGCAGGAATAAAGTAATCTCACATCCAGCTTCCACTAAAACTTAAAGAAGACAGTAAAAAAAAACCCACGGAGAGGAAATATTTGCAAATCGTCTATGTAATAAAAGTCTGGTGCCCAGCATATATAAAAAACTTTAACAACTCAGTGATTTTAAAAAAAAGAAGAAGAAAGAAAATAACCACATTTAAAAATAGGCAAAGGCTGTAGAGACATTTCTCCAAAGAAAATAGCCAACAGCAACATGAAAAGATGCCCAAAACTGTTAGACATCAGGAAAACGCACATCAAAACCACAATGAGATACCACTGCACACCCACTAGGATGGCAAGATTAAAAAAGACAGACAATCCAAGTGTTGGAGAGAATTTGGAGAAATGGGCACCCTCATACATTACTGGCGGGAATGTAAAGTCGAGCAATGCTTTGAAAGACAGCTGGCAAGTCCTCAAACGTTAACAGAGTGACCACATGACCCAGCGACTCTATTCCTAAGTATACACCCAAGAGAAAGTAAAATGTATGTTCACACAGACGCATGTACATCAGTGTTCTCAGCAGCGTTATTCATAATAGTCAAGGAGGAAAAGCAACTCAAATGGCCACCAACTTATGACTGGGCTTACAAAGTGTGGAGTACCACACAGCGGAACATCATGCATCCCTAAAAAGGCAGTGGAGTATAGTTGATACATGCTCTGATGCAGATGAACCGTGAAAACTTACACCAATGAAAGAACACAAATGAAAGGTCACGTACTGTTTGACTCCATGTCTGTGAAATGCCCAGAACAGGCGATTCCACAGGCACTGAGAGCAGAGTAGTCTGGGACTGGGGAGGAGAGGCCTGTTTAATGCATACAGGTGTTGGGGGAGGGGGAGGGGAGCAGATAAAACTGTTCTAGAATTAGATAGTGGTGATGATCGCAGAACCTCGTGAATATACTAAAAGTGACGGAGTTGTACACTTTAAAAGGGTGAGTTGTATGGCATTTTAAATCAAAATTTTTAAAAAGTGGCACAGTCTGAAATTCCAGGGTTCTCTGAGTTACCATAAATGTTTCAACGTCTGGTTGACTTTCAACATCTCTGCCAAGCTCTCCGCCACTTCGTCGTCGAGTTCATTTTTGGTGAGCCTAGAAAGGAAAGGAGGCGTTGACTCGGAGGGCCCCCAGGCACATGCGTTTGGGTGAGTTCTCAGAGCGGGGTCTCAGCCCAGGTGTGCCCGGCTCACGCCAGTCGCTCGCTGAGAGCGTGCGAGCAGCCAGGCTCCAAGCCCCACAGACGATACATGGTGACTCATTTCTCGGGCAAATTCTACACCTAAACTCTAACTTCAGCGGCACCCACACTCCCTCTCCATCCTTGCTGAGCCTTCAGATCTCAGACAGGAGCCCCCAGAAAATGGCAGGCCAAATGCCTGCTTCTCAGGTCACCTCCAGCCCCCAAGAGTTCTGGAACACCACGGGTAGCATGGCACGGAAGCCAGGCGCAGGAAGATCTAGAAAAGCTGCCACCAAGCACACTGACATGCACCTAGTGCTTTGCGAAGGACCCAGTTCCAGTGACTGAAAGTTCAGGAAGCCTCTCAATTGTCCTCAAAACCAGCAGTGGTCTGGATAAAGCCACGAAGGCTGGAAGCTCCGCGACGTAATGGGATTGGACCCTGCCCTGCCAGGCGATGAAACCATAAATGAGGAAGAAGAATGGGATAGAAAGAGCTTAGAAAACCATTCCTTGAAGGATGATCTGGTAGTGTCTATCCAAATTTTATTTTATTATTTTATTTTTTAATCATCACCTGAGGATATTTTCCTATTTATCTTCAGATAGAGTGGGAGGGGGAGAGAGACACACATCGATGTGAGAGGAACACATCAACTGGTTGCCTGCTGCATAACTCTGACCAGGACGAGCCACAACTGAGGTATGGAATCGAACCCACAACTCACTGGTCCACAGGCCAATGCTCTAACCACTGAGCAAAATGGCCAGAGCTGCATCCAAATTTTAAATGTGTTACACTGTGAGCCAACGATTCAATTTCTAGAAATTGTAGTGTGCAAAGATCTATACACACAGTATCGACTGCAGTATTATTGGCCATAATATAAATGTGCACAAATTCAAGTATCTATCAATACACGCAACTGGCAAAAAAACTGTGACTGTCCATTCCTTGGTACATTGTGCCACCCTTAGAGAATGACATCGTATAGAGATGGAGGCAGGGGTACAGTGTTTAGAGTGCTGGGAGCCAGACAAGCTGGGTGTATAGCACCTACTAATAGGGCAACCTCGGGTGGGAGGTTCACCTTCGAGGCGTGAGTTTTCTCATGGGTACATACAGAGAGTAATAGTACAGAGCTTGTGGGGTGGTTGTGAGGGTGAGTTAATACATGTAAAGGCTGAGGATAATGCCTGGTGTGGTCAGTACTCAAGAAGCGCTGGGTCTGACGTTATTATGCATGTGGAACAGTGGTTCTCAAACCTCCAGGGGGCATTTGCCAATGTCTGGAGACATTTTTGATGGTCACAATGGGGGGTTGGCAATGTTCTGTAACGGGAGAGGCCAGAGATTCTTTTGAGCGTCACTCAATGCACAGGACAGCCCCTCACAACAAAAATTATTTGGATCGCCCTGGCCAGTTGCTCAGTGGTTAGAGCATTGGCCCACGGACCAGTGAGTTGCAGGTTCGATCCCAGTCAAGGGCACGTACCTCGGTTGCGGTTCGTCCCTGGCCCTGGTTGGGGTCATGCGGGAGGCAACCAGTTGATGTGTCTCTCTCATGTCAGTGTTCCTCCCTCCCTCCCTCTCACTATCTGAAGATAAATAGAAAAATATCCTTGGTGAGGATTAAAAACAAATTATTTGGGTCAAAATGTCAACAGTGTTGAAGCTGAGAAACCCTGATATAAAAGGACATGTAAAATATGGATGATATATGGTTAAAAAATTTTAAAGCCACTTGCAAAATGCTGTTCTGTTTTGTAAGAAAGGGAACACACACACGTATATATATACACTTTTTTTTACTATACACACATTCAGATGCTATCAGGTTAGAACATACAAAGGCTGGAAGAAAACGGTTCTATTTAGAAAGCACAAGGGAGGAGGTATTTTCACTTCCTACTTTTCAGACTTCGGTCTTACACTTTTTTCAAAAAAGCACATATTACTTTTCAAAAATTTAAAAATACATTTTGAGGGTAAAAGAATTAAAAATGCATTTTCTGGCCAGAAGGCCTAACAGGGGAACTCTCCTAATGATGACATTTTCATGACTAATGTAGCCGGTCTCCTATGAGCCCTGAGCCTCAAGAGGACGCAGACGTGGAGCACATTTTCCTTACCTGTCAGCAGTGTCTGATGCAGGCAAGTAAATAAGATGCACGTATAACCAATGGACACAGACAAAAGTGCAGCGAAGGCCTGGGTGGGGACGGTGGAGAGGGTCAATGGGGGGAAAGGGGGGACATCTGTAATACTCTCCACAATGAAAATAACATTTTTAAAAGACACAAATCAATAAAATCCAATAACGATGAGAAAGGCACAAAGAGCACTATCAGAAGGCAACATACACTTAATTAGCGCCCCTAGCATGCAGTGGGGCACGCGGACTGTGGGTGCCCCTATGACAGGTGACAGGTGACAGGGGAGCGGGACATGAAGCCAGACCCTGGTGTGGCTCCAGGGAAGGAGGAGGCTGCAGGGGAGGAAGGCCATTTACGAGGAGGAAGGGCGATCTTGAGCCAAGTGCACGACCTTGGACTCTGGGAGGCATATCCGAGGCTGCTCCTGGCCGGCGGAAGGGCCAGCCTGCGGCTCCCTGAGGCCCGGGCTGGCAAAGGGCTAAGGCCTCTACTGGGCCTGCTGTGCCTCTGGAAATGGCTCTTTTCTTCTCTGGCAGGAGATTCTAACCTTGAGGAAAGGCCCAGAGCCCTCCCACTGAGAGGCAGCTTTTCAGGGCACAGTCTTTGGAATAAACCCCGAGACACAACCTTTCCAAACGACTGCTAGTTACCAGAATATCCTCAGAGACGCGTTCTGCTGCAGGGCCTGGGCCAGGCTCTTTCCTCCTTCTGTAGAAATGCCGTTGAAAGCAAGACTAGGAAGGAAGACACATGGGGTAGAGGTGGGCAGGGTTATTACATGAGGCTTTGGCTTCAGCAACTGCAACAGCTGGGAGACTCCGGCTACAGGACTGACTGGAGGCAGGAGCCGCCGGGCCTGGCTGCTCAGAGCTCAGAGCACGAGGTCAAGTGCAAGACTCATCAGGACAGGCCAATGGGAACGCCGGACATGGGTGAGAACGGTCGCTTGGCAGGCTGGAGGCGGACGCGCCCTGGCCAGCTGTGTCAGGGCGCTGACCTTCCCCAGGCGCCGTCGGGAGCTGCAGAAGTTTCCTCTGTTCTCCTAAAGGACTCCGCCATCGCCCCACCATCTCAGATGCTCCTCCAGTGGCAGGAAGGACACGAGTGGGAGGGGACACCCAGGCCCTGGGTTCGGCCAGAGGAGCATGTCTGTGTACAGACACAAAGGGTCCTCTCTGTCCCAGCCTGTCCTGAGAATGGAGAAGGGGCAGGGATCCGCTGCCGAGTGCCCCTTTAGGTTTATCTGGACTTGAGAAGAATTCCTCCCCACCCCTGAAGCGCCCGGGGAGATGGCCAAGGGGCTGGCAATGCCCTGTCTTGACCTGGGTGGTGGTGGTGGTGGAGTGTACCTGTGTCACTCAGCAATGTACTTGACTGTCTGCCTCCTTGTGTCAATGAACACACACAAATACCTCTCTCCTTAGGAAAGCCAACCGCCCTCCTCCCCTTGGCTCCCCCCCTGGCAAACCAAGAGGCACACGGAGTGGCCAGGTGGGCCCCGGGGACATGGGTGTCAGGGGGCAGCAGTCACCTCAGGTTGGTCAGGCTGGGGTGGTCCCGCAGAGCCTCCGCGAAGGCCTTGGCTCCTTCGTCCCCGATCTCATTGCCCCACATCCTGAGGGCAGAGGCAGGACAGTGAGAGGGGAGCCTGCTGCTGGCGCTCCGCGGGCAGGTGTTCTGCTGCGTCCCTGGGGCTGTGCCTGGCTCCGGGCTCCAGGGGAGGCGGGGGGAAGAGCAGCAGAAGCCTCGAGAAGAGCCCGTCTCCCCGGGAGCTTTCGGAGGGCTGTCAGGCCCCGACGTGCCACCGCACAACCTGCAGCCTAGGGGCCAGGCCCGCGGAGGAGCCGGCCCAGCACCCAGTCGGCTCTGTGCAGGGCCCAGACTCTTCAAGACCAGTCAGGCTCCAGTGCAGCGAGGACCCGGGGGCACGTTCCGAGCCTGCGCAGCGGTGACCCCTCTAGGTAAAGAGGACGGTCCTGCAGCATGCGTGTGGCTTCTTGCAGTTTTGGGGGAGTTGCAATGACAAAGCCGTATGCTCCCCCTAGAGCAGGGACCCTGAGAGGAACGGTCTGCGAGGTCAGATGCTGGACTCCGAGCAGGACCCCACCTCCCGGCTCTGGCCGCCTCCGTGCAGGCATCTGGGCAGATCGTGTGGTTCCTCGGGTCTGGTGCCCTTGTCCACACGGGGATAAGAGCGTCTCCCCGGCCAGCGGCTGGGAGGACGGAGCGAGCGGACGTGCAGAGCCCTCAGCACCGAGCCTGGCCTGTGGGCCGACGCTCCAACCGCTGAGCCAAACCGGCCAGGGTGAATATGTAATATTTTTAAAGTGAAGAGCATCTGTCTGTGGAAACTCACCACACAGGGCTAGAACAGCTCCCTCCATTTGCTGGAGGTAATAATACTGATTTCTGCATGAATTAATAACAGTCCATGCAAGCAGTGTGGCAGTGGACCCGGATGGGGTCCACTAGGGCCACGGCGATGAAAGCTCTCTGTGCCTGCCCCCCAGCTTGTCCGTTGTCCCACTGGTATATTTATGTACAAGAAGACCAGCAGGTGCTCATGGACACAGAACAGGTTGTCATGCACACGAGTGTGCAACTGTCTGTACTCACCCAATCTCAAAGATGGATTTGCTGTTCTTCACAGCCAGGGCGTGACACTTTCCTCCCTCGCTTGTTATTTTGTTTTTTCCCAGTCTGCAGAGAGAGTGGTGCATGCGTCAGCCCCCGCTGTGAGGGGCTCAGCCACCCTCAGCCCAGCACAGAGCCCTCTGGTCCCTCTTGGAGGGTGTGGCCTTTCTCCTGACCCCCACAGCAGCTGTGCCCTCAGGGAAGGACCCGGAGCCCAGGGGAAAGCCAGCCAGGGTTCCTCTCCAGGAGATGGTACCAGTCTGCAGAAACTCGGACCCGAGCTTTCCTGGGGGTTCTTTTAATGACGTTTGGAGCACCTCTCTTTTCCATCAGCAAACCAGGGAGGTTCCTGCTTCAGCTGCAAATGGTCAGCGTGACTGTTCCCACCCCCAGGGCAGCACCAGGGGCCCCGCCAAGCCTGGTGCTCTGTCACCCTTGGAAAGGCAAGCTCTTCCTTGCAACTAGATGGGTGCTATGGTCTGAATGTTTGTGACCTCCCCCAAATCCATATTCCAAAACGCTAATCCCCATGGTGACGGTCAGGAGGCAGGGCCTTTGGGAGGTGATTAGGTCATGAGGGTGGAGCCCTCAGGAATGGGGTTAGTGGCTTATAAAAGAGGCCCCGAGAGCTCCTCTTCCCCCTTTCCACCAGGTGAGAACACAGCCGGGCCCATCTATGGGCCAAGCATCAGGCCTTCAGCAGACACCTAACCTGCCAACACCTTGATCTTGGACGCCCCAGCTTCCAGAACTGTAAGAAATACATTTTGGGTGTTTTAAGCAACCTAGCTTGTGGTATTTTGTTATAGGCCTGAAGGGACTAAGTTAAGGGGTAACTTCCTTGGGGGAAAATAGACCTCCAAAAAGGCCTTTCTTCCTGTCATCAATTAATGAGCTCACATGCCAAGCTCTCCCCTGCCTATGGCAGGGGGTCCCTCCAAACTCTGAGCCTCGCCCACAGGTCATAAACCCTGCATGTGGCCAGCTCCCTTTCCACACTCAGGTCTCCTAACTTCACCAGTAAGGTTCCTGGGCAAGCGGAAGGAGGCTTTAGGGAGAGAGCGCTTCATAGTGACCTTTATTCTTTGTCTGAATAATGAAGGGTGACCAAGAGAGGCCACTAAAGAGCCGGCCACGCCCACGCCACTTACTTAAGGTGAGAGAGGTTTTTGCATTCATCCAGCATCCTGGCGATGTACCTGGCTCCGACGTCAGTGATCTGGTTGTTGTATAAGCTTTGAGAGAAAGCACAGTCGTAAAGCTGGACGACTCCTGACGTCATCTTAATGACCCCCACTTTGTAAAAAACTGAGGATATGCCCTGGCTGGTTTGGCTCAGTGGTTAGAGTGTCAGCCCACGGACCAAAGGGTTGTGGGTTCAATTCCTGGTCAAGGGGGCACGTACCTGGGTGGCAGGTTCAATCCCTGGCCCTGGTCAGGGACATGTGGGAGGCAATCAATCAATGTGTCTCTCTCACATCGATGTTTCTCTCCCTCCCTCCCTCCCTCCCTCCCTCCCTCCCTCCCTCCCTTCCACTCTCTCTAAAATTCAATGGGGAAACATCCTTGGGTGAGGATTAACAAAAATAATTAAAATAAATAAAATTAAAAAATAAAAACTGAGGATGCGCTGCCTGATGTCCAAAGTGTGGGAGAAAGAACGAAGGGGCATGTGCGGACCAGGGTTTGGAGCTCTGGGGTCTTGTAGGCTGGGTTCAAAGCTGTTTTGCCATTTCCCCACTTCATGGCCTAGGGCAAGTTACTGAACATCTCTGTGCCTCAGTTTCTCCATCTGTAATGCTGGGGTAAGAATGCTAGCTCCCTGACAGGGCTGTGTGAGGACCGGTGAGATCATTCCAAGCCCTCAAGGTAAGTGCTGGAGAAATGGCAGGTGGTGGGTATTTTTAGATTAAGATACCAATCAGCATCTTGACGGGTAGAAGTTCCTGAGCACTGGGACCTCCTCAGCGTCTACCTTTTAGTCATTTTGCCACCTGATGCCAGTTTGGCAATTGGCACAAAGAAGTTGAAAGTGCGAACTGCGCAGGATGCCAGGGTGCCAGGGGCGGACGGAACTCCCGGGCTGAGAGGTGGCCTGGGCCTCCCTGTCCCGCGCCCCAACTCAGGGAACTGAGGCCCAGAGGAGCCGGCCAGCGGGCTCCGGGTACGGAGTCAACAGTGGCTGAGGGGCTGGCTGGACGGGCCACAGTCTCTTATCTCAAACTCCAAAATCCCAGGCTCTGAAAACCCAGTTTTCCATCACTCCTTTGGCAACCGACATGGAGCTATTCATGGTCTTCATCCCAACTGGCTTGAATACTCATCCATCTTGCTGCAGAAATATTAAAGTGTTTAAAAATGGGGTACTGCCCTAGACCCCACTGGTCATGTCACTACGACACAGCACGCACACTGGATTCGGATCTGTGTCTGGACGAGGGATCATAGACCCATAGCAGTGAAGTCTAATCCGTACACAGTGCTCTGATGTTCAAAAAGCATATCCCAAGACAGCCTCTCGCTGCATCCTCCAGCCACTTGCCTTTTGTGTCAGGATCCCAGTGATACAGGGAGGAGGCTGAGGCCCAGCGGGACTTCCTGGCCTGCTCAGAATGGGCTGCTGGCGGAACCCAGAGCAGAACCCAGGACTCCTAGTTCCCAGTCCAGCACTCTTCCTGGGCCCTCGGCCCTCCGTCCCAGCCACCTGATCCCTCCCGTGCATGGCACCTTCCTGCTGCACTGCGTTATTACTCCATAGCTAGCCTAGTATTCTTGAGAAACACGTACCCTAAATACGTCAGAATTTTGTACTTGGTCAGCTCTTCATACAGCACCTTGACCCCACTGTCAGTGATCTGGTTCACGCTGAGTCTGAAACGAAACAGCCGAGGAAGTTACGCATCGGAGCTGCTCACCCAGAGGAAGCCTTCATCCCACAAGGATCCCGAAGCCTGCAGGTCCTGGGCTTTCCCAGCTATAAAGGCCCTGAGGGAATGGCCATAGCAGTCGGCCACACGGCCCCTGGGGAGCCTGGTCATCGAGGGGCCGACAGACCCACCCAGAAGCAGCCCATCGGCGAGGCTCCGCATAGCCTTGATTCCAGCACAAGGACTGCAGAGGACCTTGAACACGTGAGGACAGCCACCTCGGACACCCTGCATTTGTGGGCGGCCTCTGTGAGAAGGAGCCCATGTAAACTGATGTGTGTGCTGCGTTCTGATAAAGCCTCATCTACAATCACAAGCCGTGGGCCGAACGGGGCCCACAAGGGTCTGACCTTTTTAACAAGTAGAAGACTGAACGGGTGGAAGCTTGAGTTTTAGGCCTCATCCAAATGACCAGGTGAGACACTCGGGGCCCTCCCACAATGGTACCCACCTTGGTGCTGGGGCACCGTGTGTAAGCTACTAGTCACTCCCAATATCTACGCTGTCTTCGAAATATAATCCCCCGATTTTTAGCTGGGCACATGTGATCAGGTTCTGCCCAATGTAATTTAAGCAGAAGACACGGTAGCAATAGCTGAGAAGGCTTCTTCAAACAATGGGGTGTGTCCTCCTTTGCCCTTCCCTCTTCCTGGTGGCTGTGTTGACTGAATGGCTGGAGCCTGAGCAGCCATCGTGGGCCAAGAGGTGGAAGGCAGGTAGTGAGGGCGGCAGAGAAGAGCCTGGGCCCCTGAGGGTCCGGGAAGCGCCACAGCTGCCCAGAACTGCCCTCCTCTAGACTTTTACAGGAGACACAGATAGGCCTGTCAAGTATCTACACCACCAATATTCTGAGTTTTCTGTCTCCGCCAAAATTAATCCTACCTGATGCCCTCAGGGAGCTCGAACTGCTTCCCTGGGCTGGTCCATTTCCTCCTGCTTTTCCCTTTTCAGTACAGGCCTGAGAAAAACCTGGGAGCAGCTGCCTGGGGCAGGACCACCACACTGGTGTGGAGTTTTCATTTTCTTTTCTTATTTTATTTATTTCTATTTTTTATTGTTGAAAGTATTACCGATGTCCCCCTTTTTCTCCCCATTGACCCCCTCTTCCCACTCCCAGCCCCCTCCCGCTTTCCCCAGCCTGATGTCTATGCCCACTGACTGTGCATATATGCACATAAGCTCTTGGTTTGTCTCTTCTCACCCCCTTCCTCGGAGGGGTGTGGAGTTTTCATCCGAGGAGGGGGTACAGGGGGCAGGATGTAAGACTGCCTGAGGCTCTGACGGACAGCTGCTGGCTGAAGGCAGGGACAGACTCAAGGCCTCCCAACTGCCAGGCCAGGGCAGCCTGGCCCCTACATCCCACTGTCCCCACACAGTTTATACCCGGCACTGGTGTAGCAGACACCCAGCAACAATCGCAAAGCCCTTCTGCCCTGCGGGAACGCAGGGGCCAAGCAATGGAGAGCTAACCCCAGGGAGATCTACAAGGGTGTGTACAGGAAATGCTAATAGGAGAAAGCAGACTGGCCTCCCTTTCTCTAAAATAATCAAACAGGAAACGAATCGAGTCGACAATAAAAAAAATGTTTTAAAAGATGGCTTACTGGCAGCTCAGGGCTGCTGGCTGTGATCACGGCGGAAACGCGCCTGCGTTGCTGCCGGCTGGGCTGTCTCAGGCTCGCACCTCACACGGGTCCTAAAAGGTAGGTTCCTTGTGATTCCGGCTCTACGGCCCCGCTGGGGACCTTAAGCAACTTAGTAACTTCTTTGTGCCTCCACTTCCTCATTTGCCAAAATAAAGACAATAACAGTTTCTACTTTACTGGATTGTTTTGTTTCCATTAAATTTACTTATTTTATTTATTGTTTTCATTGTTATCGAATTTATTGGGGTGTGTTAAGAGGCTTAAATCAGGTAATATCTGTAATGACTTCACCCATTCTCAATAAATGCTGTTATTACAGCTGACCCTTGAACAACAGGGGTTTGAGCTGTGGATTGTTTTTAATAAATGTATTGAAAAAATTTTTGGACATTTGTGAAAATTAAAAAAAAAAACACACACAGACAAACCATATAGCCTAGAAACATTTAAAAAATTAAGAAAAAGGTATGTCATGAAAGCATAAAATACATGTATTTCTCTAACTTATGATTTTCTTAATAACATTTTCTTTTCTCTCGCTTACTTTATTGTAAGAATAGTATATAATACATGGGACACAAAATATGTACGGGGTGAGCAAAAGTAGGTTTACAGTTGTTCTATGGAAAATAATGCAATGATTGTAATGAACTGTTTTGCACACTCGCTATGGTAAACCTTTTGCCCCACCCTGTACTGATCAACTGTTCCTGTTCTTGGGAAGACTTCCAGGCAACGGTTGGCTGTATGTTATAGTTGTGCTGGGGAGTCAAAAGTTATATGTGGACTTTCAACTGCAGGGGGTCAGCATCCCTAAACCCTGCATTGTTCAAAGGTCAAGTGTACTGTGATTGCTAGGATATGGGCGCCTCCTTTTCCCAGGTGGGGACACTCAGGCTCAGAGGGTAAGACCAGCTGGGCTGATGCAGGTCAGCCTGCCTTCGCAGCTTTGCTCCTTGCTCTCTGCAACCTGAGAGAGAGCAGGTCTGGCCCTTCCAAAACCTGTGGCCGTGATTCCCTGTGTAATCCAGGAGGACCCGCTGCTCCACAGTGCTGGTCCGGTGCCCCCAGCCCGGCCCGCCCCGCCCGCCAACGCGCAGTGCCCGCGGCCTCACCTGACGACGGTGAGGCAGCTGAAGCAGGGCTGCAGTTCCCGGACGCCGTAGTCGTTGAGGTTGTTGTTGTCCAGGTCGAGGGCGAGCTGCTTGCGGAAGTGGTGCAGGACGAAGGACAGGGCGCTGCAGTCGGCCGAGTAGGCGTTGCAGTAGGTCAGCTTGAGGTAGTTGGCGCAGATGCCCTTGGCCGCCAGCTGCCCCACCTTCTCGCTCTGCGTCTCGTAGATGCAGCGCAGCATCCAGACGAAGGTGGGCATGGCCTGCACCTGGTTGAAGCCCCCGGACTGAACGCGGGGCAGGTTCTTCAGGTGGGTCCGCAGGCTGGCAAACAGGTGTGCCCACAGGGCCTTGCGCTTTCTCCTCAGGGCCCCGGCGGGGACCAGGTGGCTCAGGAGCTTCTGTCTGGCTTTGGACAACAGCCCGCACAGGAAGAGGTTGGTGAACTGAAAGTGATCCTTGTTCCTGAAGGGGTCTTCCTCCGCCAGGCCACTGTCCCCCAGGCACTGGAAAGGGAGGAAGCGGGGAGAACAAGACACCGCCGCTGCGTCCCCAGGGGGTCCCCACTCCTGGAAGAACCTGAGCAGCTCCGGAGTGCCCACCTTGTCGTCCACCACGAGAAAGAAGGCAGTGAAGAAGGCCTGGAGGGTGACGTGGAAAAACTCGTAGGACTGCTGGTCCTCTCCGAGCCCCAGCTCGGACACGGCCCGCAGGAAGCCCAGCTGCAGGTCAGCCTCCTGTATCTCGGAGGCCTGCACCTCCTCCTGGCCAAAGACGAATAGGTTCTTCTCCATGCCCCAGTGGGCCACCTGCCCCAGAGAGCGCAGGGCGCCCCGGCCGGCACGGAAGGTCTCTGTCTGGCTCTGCGTGTTCCTCTGCACCAGGCTGGTGGGGTGCGTCCTGTTCAGGTGGACCTCGACGACCAGCAGGAAGACGTCGGTCAGGGTCACCGGGCAGCGGGGCATCTCCGGGGAGCTGTCGAAGATGCTGTGGAAGTGCTGGAAGCAGCGGCAGATGATCCAGCAAAAGAGGGGCACAGCACACAGGCTGCAGAGGCTGGGGCTGGCCTCCAGCTGGTCCACCAGGCGGCCCTGCACGGCCCGGTCCGGGAACATCCTCCGGGTGTAGGCCCGCAGGTGGCTGGGCGAGAAGCCCCGCAGAAGCACCTTCTTCTGAAGGAGCTGGCGCGGGATCTCGATGCCCGGGCGGGCCGTGAGCAGCTTGGTGGCCCCCTTGAGCAGCATCCCGCTGAGCAGGTTGGCCAGCAGGACCACGGGGTGGGCGGACTCCCAGGGCGACGCGGTGTCCGGGACGCGGCTCAGGTCGAAGTCCGAGTGGAGCTCGTCGAGGCCATCGAAGGTGAAGAGGGCCGTGTGGGGGAAGCGCAGCAGGAAGGCGAACACCTCCTCGGGGTCCTGCTCGGGGAAGCAGCAATGCTTGAAGAGCAGGTCCTGCAGACTCAGCGAGTCGCTGTCCTTGAAGCAGCTGAACATGCGGCAGCGGAAGTGGAAGCAGAACTTGAGCTCTGGGTCCAGCTGGCCAGCGGCCCAGAGGCTCTGCAGCCGCTGCAGCAGCATGGACTTGCCCACGCCGGCGTCGCCGAAGACGAAGATGGTCTCGCCGTGCTCGTTGAGGACGCCCGTGGAGTGGTCCAGGAGGCAGGCCAGGCTGCCCAGGTTGCCCAGGCTCTCGTTGCTGAAGCTGACCAGCTCCATGATGGTGTCCGTGTACGTGTCCTCCAGCAGCACCTCCTCCTTCTTTGAGTAGCACAGGATGAACTTGGAGTCGCGACCCAGCTGGTGTCGCAGCTTCTGGATGTACCTGCTCACTGGAGGGAGAGTGGGGTGGGTGGGGCGCAGGCGTCCCGGGAGGTGAGGGACCCCAGGAGAGGTGGAGGCAGAGAGAGAGAGAGAGAGAAGCAGAGACCAAATAGCATCAACCAGGGAGGTAGCAGGAGAAGAAACAAGCACACAGACTAACCCACCACCTGGACCCTGAGGCCAAGGGCAAGGACACCTCCACTGCAAACCCTGAAGACTCTCCAAGAGCCAGTATCTGCGGGTCCTCAGGCCTTGACACCTCTGCTTGACCTCAGATTTAGCCAGCCAGGGGGTGACGAGCTTCAGCTGGGGTCAGTGTCTGAGCCAGGCTCCCTGTGCCTCTGCACAGTGGTCACTGAATTCCAGCTGAAAACAGAAGCTCCCCCACACTCCAGGCCAGGCCAGATGACCCTGCCGCCCCACCCCACCCCCAGTTCAACTAGCTGGAGCCAGTCCCCACTGAAACGCTGCCTGCTGAGGCCAAAACTGCCCTGACCCTGCTGTGCTCTGGGAACAACACATAGTCTCACTAAACCAAATGCCAAAACTTCCGGTGATAAAGTACAACCCTGGATGTCAGTCCGGATTCCAGAAGAGTTGCGTCTCATCCACATCACCACTAGTGAGCAAATGAAGACAAAAGCCGCCTTCTTACACTACGAAGGCACATCCACCCTGCTCCCAAGCCGAGGCCAGGGCTTTGCTGATGTTCACGCACGTGCCCCAGGGTGAGCCTCGGGCTGCCTGCAGGCGAGAGCTCTGAGGTGAGGCTCACCCCAGAGGGAAGGTGGTCCTTCCCCGGACAAAAAGGTGTTCACCAAGGTTTCAGGTTCGATCCCCGGTCAGGGCACATACCAGAAACAACCAATGAATGCTTAAATAAGTGGAGCAACAAATCGATGTTTCTCTCTCAAAATTCAATAAAAATTTAAAAGTAAAAGGTGTCCCATAAATTCCTCTAAAATGGTTTTTGAAGTTTAATTTAATTAACAGACATCAGACACATGTGCACATTTCCAGACTGATCTACAAGCCTTCCCTCCACCTAGTCCAACCTGGTTGTCTGCTTAAAAGTTGCCAAGTGAGCCCTGGCCGGTTTGGCTCAGCAGTTAGAGCGTCGGCCTGTGGACCAGAGAGGCCTGGGTTCAGTTCCCACTAAGGGCACGTACCTCAGTTGCAGTTTGTCCCCAGCACCAGCTGGGGTCATGTGGGTGGCAGCCACTCACATCGATGCTTCACTCTCTCTCCCTCCCGCTCTATCTGAAGACGGATGGGAAAAAGCCCTCGGGTAAGGATTAAAACAAAAAAAGTTGCCAAGTGAATTACATTTTTTACAGTTTTTATTAAGGCATAATTTACGTACCATAAAGTTTACCTATTTTACAACGGGTGATGTGTACCAGCCACTGATACTTAGTAAGTTTACATAAATGTCACTACAATCCAGTTCTGGAACATCTCCATCATCAGCCCATCTGCGGCCTACGCCTGTGCCCAGCCCTGGACAGAGGCAACCCGCTAGCCATCTGTTTTCTGCCCCTATAAATTTGCCTTTTCTAGACGTTTCATATCAATGGATTCATATAATATGTAATCTTTCACATCTGCCTTCTTGTAGAGTGAATTATACTTGAAAAGCTAACAAAGTAGCTGGCTCAAGAGGCCAGTGGAGAGACCTTGGAAAGAACTATCCATCGTGGGAATATCTCCCTCTTTTCCTGGGAAGGAAGCAAAGGCAGTCCGCCAGAGCAGGGAGGGCAAGAGGCTCCTGCCCCGACCCTGCTGCTTGGCCTGGCTTCCCCCACGCACACACCTTCTGGGGCACTGTTCTCTGTTTCTGTGTTCAGGGTCAGACTGGATCCTTTAAAAATCAGAGCGCAGGACTTTGGTGCTGGTATGTTGCCAACAACTACCTCAGAGTGGAGAGAGTACAGGCGTGGAGACCCGCTGGGCCCCAGACCACACCCGGAGCGGCTGCTGTCCTCATCTGTGTGACGAGTTACCACTGCCCTCTCCCCGGGCAGAACCATATCTGCATCGGCTCCCGGGGGGCCCGGTACACTGCACACTGCCTTGGCACATTAATACCTGTCGGGCCAGTCCGCTAACTAACGGTGCCACGGTGCTTCGGAAATCACTGGAAGTTGGGGTGACAGACACATACTTTGCCTAGAATCAAATCTGGAAAGATTTTTAAAAGGGGGGAAAAAAAAAGCAAGTTTGAACTTCTGCGACCACGAGAATGACTCCATGTGTCAGAACAGGAAGGACAGAAGGAAGAAAAGGTCAGAACGGAGGCTACTCCCACACTTCCACGGGCCCCTCCACACAGCAGACCCGCTGCAGGTGGCCGCCTCAGGGACCGTCCCCCGGCCGCACTGGGGTGACAGGAACCAGCTCTCCTTATCACAAGGAACACAGCACCCGGGCCCGCCAGCCCGCGTGGCCTGAGCCTACTCGCGACAGCATTTCCAACCCCAGGACCCTGCCTGCTTGGTGTCTTCATACCCACGGCCGACTCGTACCTGGGTCAGTGTTGACAACAGCTTTGCTCTGAATGAGCTCGGAAGGGGAGAAGCCGATCTCCGACAGCCAGGGCCTGAGGTCCACGTAAGCATCCGCGAGTTGCTGGAGCACGTGGAGGAGGAACTCGGACACCTCCTCACCCTTGCTCTGGACCAGGTCCAGAATTTTGCGGACCTGGTGGTGGCACAAGCATGAGGGCGTGAGCCGGGCTCTAGGAGTGTGCTCCCACCGGGAGGCTGAACAGGGCCCCGAGCTCTTCCCACAGCCAGGGCCTGAGCGTCCACCCAGCCAGAGCGCGAGGCTCTGCGTCAAAGGCCTAGGACCTGGGGAGTGGGAGCCTTAGCTAGAAATAGACCCACACGGCTCTAAGCAACCAGGACACTTCCATGAGCCCCAAAAGGAGGTCAGCCTCACAACCAGAGCTGCGCCCACCTCTGGGATTGTCCCCGTGTCTCCTTTTCACTCTTAAACGAACACGGTTGCTCTCCAGGAATGAGTGCGAAGGGGACAAAGTCACCCCTTAGACATAGGAGCTGGGCACTGGGCCACACAGCGAGGGGACAACGGACCCCCATGGAAGTTATACCTTTAAAAAGGCTTTTTGTATTATTAAAAATGCAGGGGGGAGATGACAAGAGTGAGCTACTGCATTTCCCCCAGAAACCCTTCTGGTCTCTTCTGAGCCCAGCAGGACCTCATTCCAAACAGGTCTGCCACTCTCCGAAGCAGCAAGAGGTCTGGGGTCGTGCCAATTGTATTTTTCAGAAGACGACACAAAGCTAGAGGGAAACGAAGGGCTGCTAAGACTCCCCGCAGCGGAGCGGGGGAGTTCTCTACCGCGGACCCCGCTTCGGAGGAGTCATTCCCAAACCCGCGCAGCCCAGCAGTTAAAGGCCCCGGATGGACACCGCTGCAGTGCCCTATGCTTCCTCTCCCCTCCCACCAATTTAAAGTGAAGTTAGAAACGGGCCACCGCCGAGCCGTGCGCACAGCCGGGGAGGAGCAGGGGCTGCTCTTGCCAGGCACTGGTGTGACAGGCCACCACCCAGCCCGTATGCTCTAGAAATGGAAGTTCTGCCCGATGCACTGAACCCCAGGGCTCTCCACGCAGGGCAACTGGGAGAAGTTCCCGCTGGCCCCAGGCCTCTCGCCCCGCCGAGGCCCAGCCCTGTTGCCGGCACCTTGTCGGGCTGCGTGGGGCAGGCGCCCACGATCTCCACGTCCTCCGCCGAGAAGTAGTCATGCTGCAGCAAGTTGTCCAGCAGACACTGAGTGTTGCGGATGTGAGTGACCAGAAGCTCACGGTTGCTCTTCAACAACTGAGTGTGGGAGTAAAGGAGCCCCGATGGGAGTGCGTTCATCTCACTGTGGCCCGGCGTCTCCATGGTGGTTAAAGTAACAAGCGACGGCTTGTCCCAGATTCATCCTGGCTGCGTGTGTCTTCCTGGCAGAGGACAATCGGGATCCAGGGCCCCTGCCTCCCAGTGCGGCCCCTGAAGAGACAAATGAAATCACCAACAAAGTCAAGGCCAAGAGGTCCCTCCCTCTCCCTCGGGTCCTGGGATATGTCTCTTCGGGGCAGGGGAAGCCTACTTAACACAGGATCTGAGATGCATCACGGAGAACATCCTCACTGAACTGCTTCTGCTGTGGGCGCCAGAGGTAAACACACCTTTCTGTTTGTCTGTTTCAGCAAACAGAGGATCAAAGATGGTGCTAAATGGGGGCACTTTTCACGGCCAGGCCCTGCCTGCCTGAGCCACCAAGGCCGATCTGAAAGCCTTCACTAGTCACGTGACAAGATGCTGTCACCATTGGGTCCGAGGCAGGTGGGCCTGGGGTGCTAGACAGGCTCCAGGGTACCCCGGTCTCCTGCAGCCTTCTCCTGTGATCCAGCGTCAAGCCCTGTGTCGCGTGGGGATCCCAGCAGGGCGTAGAAGGATCAGAGCTAACACCGAGCAAGGGCTCTTCCAGGGGCCCAGCATGGGTCTAATGCTTTCCACTTGCTGCGAGAGGCCGGATAACACAGGATTAGGTTGGTCTCTGGGGCCAGCGGACTCACTAGCCAGTTAACCACCCTCTCGGTGCCTCAGTTTCCTCACAATAAGAGTTCCTATCTCCAAGGGTTACTGTACAGACTCAGGTAATAGTCACCAAGTGCCTAGACCAGGCTGGCATACAGCAAATACTCAGTGATTCTAACCTCATTTTATCTTTAATCATTTAATCCTTAGGTCAGCCGTAGGTGGCAGAGGTCACTGGTACTGTTGATTTACAAACCAGGAAATGGAAGCACACAGAGCGTTTCCGATCAGGCAGGGGAGACAATGTGGTGAGCACAGGGGACGAGAAATGAACCAAGAAGCCAAGGCATCCATCGCTCTCCCAGGCTCCTCGGGCCCCAGGGAGCCGTCTATGGTGCAGGGAGAAGTCATTAGAGCCCCTGTCTCTCAGGGAACTTGAATTTGAGACATTCAGAGACTCCCAATAACCCATAACACACAAGTGGTGGGTCAAGGCTGCCCACTGCTGAGGGACACAGTCTCCACGGTCACCCAGTGGTGCCCGCCCCATCCCGTGTATCCTTATAAACCCCATGAACAGGGGTGACAGCAGCGTGTCCCTGTTCCCTGAACGACACTGGCAAACACAGCCATTCAGCCACAGCTTCATTCTCTGCCAAATCGTCCAGCGGAGCCTGAGGGCGGAGGTCACTCCGCCAACAGTGTGACTGTCCACTCCCAGGATGAGCACACAGAATGTGGCCTCTATCCCACCTGCTGCCAGCCTGAAGGCTAGAAAACTCAAGAAAGTCATTTCCCACAATTCACACTGGCCTGACGATGCCACTCTTTTCTTAGACACCCAGTTGCAGGGGATCATCTTTCACTCTTTTAGAGTACACGGTATATATTTCAAAATAAATGAGGCACGTTCCGTAAACTGGTGTTGCAATCGCAGTAGGTAAGGTTCCTAAAACATTCCTTAACCTGGTAGTGGATGCTGACTCAGCGTCACAGCCCGGACTTTTATGAACAGTAAGCTCTGTGTGATCAGGCCGTTCCACACGTCTCTCTCCTGCCGATCCTTCCTGCCTGTCAGCTGGTAACAAACAGAAACACAAGCAGAACTTTGCTGCGGCCCAGGTGCTACCGGATCCCGCCCAGGGCTGGATCAGCCTCTGCTCCTATCCCGACCCCGAGTTCTGTTCACTCCTCAAAACGGGAGTTCCCAAACCGGCTGGTGGTCTCTGGAATCTCAGAGGCCACAGGAAAAGGTCAAGGATTTTATACACACAGAAAGGACAAGTCTATGGGCTATGACCTCACTGACCACGGGACAGTTTTCAGAGACTTACCTGCCCCTTCCCTGAAAAACATCACGATGAGAGAAGTATGCTACTCATTAGGTGGTTTGGGTTTTCCTCCTACACACCAGGCAGGATCCCACTTCTCCACCCCCTCGAGGGTACTTGCTTTGACTCATGAGATGTGAGCAGAAGTGGAATGAGGGACTCCGGGCAGGAAGCTTTTGGCATCAGTGTATAATTTGTCCACGTGTAGCTGTCTTCTTCCTCTGGTGCTCCGACCAGCAACACTCAAGGTGGTGGCCGCTCCATCCTCCAGGACCCACGAGTGAGGACAATGAGGAGAGCCTCCTGCTAACTTCTGACGGACAGGAGAGCGAGCAAGACACGTACCTTTGCTCTGAGTTGTTGAGATTTGGGGACTCTCTGCTATAGCAGCACAACCTAGCCCAGCCTGACGAGCACAACGACTTCAGACGAGAAAAGCATTGAGCACATCAGGACATTAAGGCCCAGCTGGATGGAGACAGAACTGTTAAGAGTCTGGCCCAGGATGTTCACAGCCAAACACAAGACGGGCTTCTACACTGTTCTGTCTACCACCGTCCTGGACAACAGGGACTGATAATGGATATTTATTTACTGAGTTCAGATTGCAGGTCACTCCCTGCCTGCCTCGGAGATGAGTTACCCAGATGGCAGAAGGTCAGGGACTGCAGACCACCAACCCGAGGGTAAGCCCCAGCATGAGGTGAACACACACATCCTCAATGCCAGGGGTCGTGTTCCACTCTCCTGGAGGAAACCACTCCTCTCTGGAATAAGACTCATCTGGTGAGTAGCATCCACAGCCTCCTCAGACCATGCAGCATGAAGAAGACGGTTACACCTGTGTGTGGACATGGACCTCTGGCTAGTCCAGGACAAAGTGACGATGTGAAGAGCATGGCTGCCCCACTCTCCGGTTGCCCAGCAGTCGAACAGGAAGCTGACCTCGAGCACGTGTCCATGCGACACGGACAGAGCTGCACAGACACACAGTGGGTCCGCTCAGCTGGGTCCTATCTTCCCTGCTGTGTCGTCCATCCCGACATTGGCGCAGGGACGCCTCCAGGCTGCAGGACACAAACTCAAGCCGCTGCTCTGCACAGACCCTGTCTCTCAGGGCTGGTTTCTGTCTTTGGTGGGTGGTTTTCTTGTTTTGTGTTTGTGTGGTCTGTTCATTTTTCTTGTTTCGTTTTCCATGTCCTAACCTGGGAAACAAGCCCCATCCCTCGGGTCTCTGACATTCCCGAAAAGGAAGAGCCCCCTGGAGAGAAGGCAGCAGCTGGATGAGGCCGCAGTAATTTGACGCTTTTAAACCCCATTAACACTCATTATTTTAAGTATCTGAAAGCACTTAATTCCCTCAGAATTTCAAAGCAGATACAAAGTCTCTCTGTTTTTGCTCTCTCTCTCCCAGCTCTGTCTCTCGCTCTCTGTGAAAGTGCATATAGTCTGAACTCTGGACACAGACACTGTCCCCCTGCAGGCAGGACCCAGGCGAGGGCTGGGGGGCGGGAGGAAGGCAGGTCACGTGTCCGGCCCCTCCTCCCGCGGGTGCGCGCAGGGCCAGCCCCTCCCTAACGAAACCAGGGACTCTGGACCAGAGCAGGAAGGTGCAACACCCCCGCTTTAGAAACGAGGGAGCCGAGGCCTTGGGAGGGCAGACACTTGTCTGGTGGACTAGGACTAGGTGTGGTAGCCAGGGAACCGAGGCCTCGGGAGGGCAGACACTTGTCTGGTGGACTAGGACTAGGTGTGGTAGCGAGCGAAGCGGTCCCAGCAGGGGCTCCACCTCCTCGCTCCTCCCTGCGGCCTGTCCCCCACTGGGAACTCCCAGGGCCCTGCACCCCCATCCTTCTCGGAGGATGTGGTGCTTTCCATCCCAAAGTCCTCCTTCACCGCGACGATGGTGGCTGCGAAGGACAGACTCTGAGACCAGGTGACCTGGTTCCAATCACTGCCGTGCGATTGGCACCAATGACAGGGCCCCGCTGTGCCTGGAGTTCTTACCCGTACACCGCAGGTGACGAGGCCTCCGGCTCCTGAGAGCCCCGTGAGGACCCGTGGGTGACCCGCGGGGCCGAGAGCAGCTGCAGGGCTCATCGCCACCAAGGAGAAGGTGCTCTAGGCAGGACTCCGGCCGCTTCACCTGTGAGGCCTAGCATGGGACTCTGAGGGAGCGTCCACCTGCTCAGTCGCTGCGTTCCCGGCACACAGGAGGGTGCAGATGAAACGGCAGCTGGAGGAAGCGGGCACAGGGCTCTGTGCCTCGTCGGTGCTCCCTGCGCAGCGACCAGGCCTTCCAGAGCTCGGGCTCACCGAGGTGTCCCGTGCGGAGGTGACTAGTGCAGATTCCTGCTTGCAGGGCCCAGTGGTTTTACTCTTCTAAGGCACTTGTATCAGCTGCTGCCTCGACCAGTTTAACCAGAGCCCAGCTCCCAATTTCCAGAGCATGTCTTGGCACAGAATCACCTTCTGCCGTGTGACGGTGGCCCCACACAGTGCCTTCGGGAGCTCGCTGTACTTGTTGCCTGTCATTTTCCTGATGATCTCAGGCTTTGGAAACCAAAGTTCCAAAAATACTCTGCTTGGTGTTCATCTCCAAGGGGTCAGTGAACCCAGGTGCACTGTCACCAGGAAAGACAGCAGAGCTGGAGTCAGAACCCCACCCGGGTCTGGAGCTCTGTAAGTGGGCTTAATTGCTTCTGCGGAAGAAGGCGCTTCACGGTGACAGGTCGGGAAGCCAGAGGACATCTGGAGATGGCATTGAGGACTGACACCAAGTATCTGGTGTCTCCCAAATGACAGGCGCTCCACGAGAACCAAATATATTAGTCACCAGAGGCTGGCGGTGAACTTGGCCTTGAGTAAACACGCTGCTGATTGCTGGTTAAGACACTTAGCCTGAGACTTTCATTCACCCCACTTGACCATGTGTCCACAGTCGGCAACTGTCTGGGACACAAATGGACCCCGGAGCTTGGCCCCAGGGTACCCATGATGTGTCAGGGTGATTCTAAGGAACACTGAGAGGTTGAGAAGATGGCAAGTCCTTCTGAGGTGGCACCCCTGGGCTTGGACCACCCCATGGGGTGCTGTCTTAGGAGCAGACCCTCCAGCCGGCCAAGGCACACCTGACCTGCTGTTGCCTCTCACTCTGGGACCTCAGGACAACTTGGCGGAGTGAGGAGGAAGGGCTAGTGTGGCCACCCCTGAGCCAGCGGGCATGCATGGTGAGTCCTCGGCCCCTTATGGTTTGGGGGTTTTTCTATGACCTGAAATCTCCAAGTAAAGAAGTTTTTTTCCCTAAACACCCCACCCCCACCCCCGTGCCTTTGAAGTGTATGCAAATTCCCCGGTCTGTGTAATTCCCCGGGGGTGTAACGATGTAACGAGGCCGGGTGATGCGTAAGGAGTTTTTAAAAAGGTAGTGAGTGTATGTGGAAAAGGCCACTGCGCTTCTGACGGGTGTTCTTTAAGTACTGTCGCGTCCACCTGCGCCCCTTCCTGGGAACTACCGAGCCTGCTTTGCCTTCCCAGACACCCCGCACACCTGTCTGCGTGCAGGTATGTTTTATCACACCCAGGCTAACAATCTCAGAGGCTCAGATGACATTGATCTCAAAATAAACATCATCGTCTACTTTAATAACATTAGTCAATACCAGTATCAAGATTCCCCCACTCTACCCCACCCCACCCAGTGGATATTAAATCATCCAATGTAAGCAACAGCTGAGGTTAAAAGTTGCAAGTTGGGCCCTGGTTGGTTTG